ACAATACCTGAGAAAGATAATAAAGACCCCAAATTAATATGCACTGCATCTTTCGATATGTACCTCTGAACTTAAATAATGTAAGTTTGGCTGGTTAATGGATGGTGGTGAGTCAACAAAGGATTGTTTATTTATTTGTTTTTTAGGAGAAGGGGATTAGTAGCCTCTAGTGGCAGCTATCAGAAACTACAGCGAATTCAAACTTCAATGAGACACAAATCACAAAAACAAATAAAAACCTGGCAGTACTGACACATGACTACGTACATAACACCTAAACCACGTGATTCAATTGAAACACTTACGAATGAAACACTAAATTGTGAACAATTTAAGTGTTTTCATTGTAAAACTCTTTAAAAACTTTAAAAACAAAGATGCTTTTATCATCAGAAATGTTAGTTTTACTCACGTATAATGCACTTTTGTTTATCAGATACTCTGGATTTTCCTGTTATTTCTGACTATCAGGCCTTCATTCTGAGCCAAGCTTACCACTGAATAGCTGTTCATATGCTGAAGAAAGCACACTAATCTGACATATTTCTGTCCATGTCTGGATATATTGGTATATTGCTATGGTATGTTCTATATGGTATATTCTAAGATTCATAAATACTGACTTTTACAAATATTGCCCAAAACAAAAATAAAATGAACATTTAAATAAAGTAAATCCTAACTAAATAAAAACGTGTAAACTAAATGAAACTAAACAGAACTGAAATAAACACTAAAACGGACCAAATCAGTATCTCTTACACATTTTTGGAAACGTCCTCTGAAAATACATAATGCAAGTTCTAAGATTTATCAAACAAACACTGCCCCATTAATAAAAGGTTAGATATAAATGGAAGAAAAACTCGAATTAAACCGTGTTGTCTAACGAAATATTGTTTGCAACAGATATTCAACAAATAATTATTTATTTCTAACTTGTTAAAGCACTCTACCTTGTCCGTGTGGTAAGTTGGCACGATATTGCAGCTTTATATCTGTTGTGTTAGCCCACTGTTTGCATTGACGTATGATGATGATGATGATGATGATGATGATTATTATTATTATTATTATTATTATTATTATTATTATTATTATTTCATGTTCCGCTAAAAGTCCAATTTTGCACTGCTTCAAGGAAAAAAAACTATTTCCGCTTCGACCGGAAGTCACATCCTAGCTTCAACATGGTTCCCCCCGTTGCAGTGTCGCCGCTCATCAAGGTAAAACATTAATTTTGTAGCTTGTATAGCTTTTATTACTGTAAATGTAAATGGACAAATATGTCTAAGCCACAGTCTGTCCCTAATATACACAGACTCGCGTTAATGGAAGTTAATGTATTAGCATCTTAGCTAGTGTTTGCTAGCAGTGACATTGAGAGGTGAATGCTTCCTCGCAAACAGTTGCTTTCTGCGGCATCTTTCACATCTGACAGAGGCAGGTATTATGACTAGTAATACCCATGCCATGTTGTTAGGCTGAGTAATAGTTAATAGTGTTGTGGTTGTTGTTCACTACGTATGCTGAAAGGTCAGAGAAAAACTGGACTTCGTCCCTTGTCACGGCTCATTTGGCGCACTTCGTGTAGGTTTTTGTACGGTATCGTGACCACACACGATGTTTTTAAATATGAAATTACAGAATTAAGCATAAAATGGTAGTTATATATCAGCGATTGACAGTAACGACAGAACAGGCTGTGGAAATTAAGTTCATCTTGTTCATATGATATGAACAAGATGATAAGATGAACAAGATAACCGTGCGTGAGCTGCGATATATGAATCACGCACGGTTAGCTGGTTATTCACACATGTTTCGCTTGATAACATGTTTGTTAACACCATTTTTTTCCATTTCAGACGGCCAGATGGTCTGCCCTGCTACTCGGCGTGATCTACGGCAAACAGCGATTTGGTAAGTCCATGTGTGCGCATGCGTTAACTGGTTTGTGTCAGTGCGTAAAAGGAAAAACTTGGAACAGAAAGTCAGGAATGTACATTGTTTGTGACAGATGCAAGGGTTTTATTTTATTTTTTACTGTACCACATATCACAGCATTTATACCCTAAACAGGAGATGCACCAATTGCAGTTTTTGTGGTTGATTCTGATTTCTAGGATCTTCTCTTACTGAAACAACTGATTAGGTGTTGCTCAAAAGCAGGTGCAACAGATTTGTTTTTCTCTGTTTCATAGCTGCTCATAGCTCATAGCTGCTTTGAGCTCCTTTGCTAACACCGAGACTTCATGCTTGTAGTTTAGCCACTTTGCTTTTGTTAGCTAAAATTTCCAGGGTCTTTTAAAACACATACATTTTCTTTAAAGTAAAGTTTTCATAGAAAGCTTTCTTTTTATTCTAAGATAATTTTATCTGCTTTAGTCATTTAACTCTTTATCTTTTGAAAGTCATAAAGCTTCAGGACGTTGCCGCCTTAATTCTTGAATTACTAAAATTATATTAAGAATGAAGCATGTAAGAAGGCACACATAATTAGACACAGACTAGTATGACAGAAGGAAAAACAGTTGCGAAAACTACTACTAACTTATGTCACAGAGGAAGGGATATGTGCTTGCAAGGATTATTTGTACTTTAGGGCACCCTTAATTTCCATGAAGATGTCTTTAGCACATGGGGAGGGGGAACTAAAGGATGGATTTATGAAGTCACAAAAGTCTTAGAAAATGAGGGCTATCTATGCTCAGATACACTTATGTAATGTGTCTTAAGAATACCACTGTGATTTCTAAGAATGCTTAGTGATGGGCTCTGTAATTTTTGTTAAGATTACCTGAAGCCCATTGCTGAGGAGGAGAGGAGGGTTGAGGAAGCGGAGAAGAAGGCCAGAGAGGAGCAGGAACGCATCTACAAACAACTCTCTGAAGGTAACGCAGAATCACACACAGCCTTTGTTTGTCTGTCACATAAAATTAGGTTTGTTTGTTTTAATGCCAACATATTCATGTTTCCTCATTCTTTTTCTGTCTCTGCAGCAAATTCTGACACCATCCTCAAATGAACCATTTCCTGACTTATATTGCTGAACAATAAATATTTCCAATGTAATCAATAAAGTGTCCTTTACTTTTTCTTTTTCTTTTTTTTTTAAATTTGCCTCGTATTAGTTGTCACTTCTTATTTTGAACTAAGCCTTTTGAACCTTCTAGTTTGACAAACACACATGCACATTTCGTGACTCGAGCTAGTCTGTGTTTGTGTGTACACCTGTCCTTCAGTGGGAATTGAGTCTGGAGGAGGAGCATGGTTGTAATCCTGGCCTAGTTTAGCAGCAATCCTAGGATTGGGGTCAGGGACCAGTAGTAGAAAGTGCAGTGTGGACAGAAGCGATCCCTCAATACTCTTGTGGGTTGTGTAATATTGTAACCTTCATAATGAACTCCATATTGCATTATAGCATTATATAGAACATGTTCTTGCATTATAATCATAATGGCTGGGCCAGGACGCGCCTTAACTGACCCCTGCATTCAGGATGAGGGGAAGATTCATAAATGAATAAATGACCAGATTCCAACAATAATGTTGGCTCTTGGTAAGTTTCACCATCACAGGAAATAAATCCACTCGGTTAAAAATACACTTGCTTTTATTGGGGTCATCATTGTACATTTGGAGCACATGAGGAGGCAAGCTTTGAAATGCTGACCAAAAAGTAATTTAAGTCTATTAAAAAAACATCCATGGTACATCCAAAGCACATTTAAATTGATTTGGGACCTAATGTTATCACACAGGCATTTTTATCATAGCAGTGCCATATCTGGAACACTTTAAATATTTGTAAATTGAAGCTAGCACAATGCATTTGTTATTCAGCTTTATGACTCTTTTTCTAGTGCTTTATAAATAATAAGGTAAGGCCCTCTAGCATCAAACTAGAAAAATATTTGCATCTTAATATTTACAGGAAGGGCGATGGTATGTACAAGTCTATACACAAAGCTCAGTTGCTTCTTCATGCTGTCTCAAACAGCTCTGTGTCCTTGTTGCCTTCGAGGCCTGCACTCAGGGATTGTTATAAGAATAGCCTGATGGCTCAGCGATTAGTGCTGCTGCCTCGCAGCACAACAGTCCTGGGTTTGGGTCTCGAAACCTGACCAGTCGTGTGGCGTTTGCTTGTTCTTGCTTTTCCTTTTGTATCCTTTCACATAAGCCACATGGTTGTTTGTCATTATGGTTACTCTTCCTGATGCTGAGCAGGTGAGCTCTGACTGACTCCTCGTCCTATTTGGGAGGAGTCCAGTGCAGGGAGAAGCTTTCAATCAGGGATTGATGTAGTACAACTCCCTCTAAAGCAGTTTGAGTAAACTTTCCGATCCCAGTATTTGATTGTGCTCATGTTGTAGCAGATATGAACAGAGCAAAATTAATTAAATCTCAGACAAAATCAACCAAATAAATCAGTTTCATGTGTGACCACCTGATTTCCCGCTCTTATTTAATAAGACATTTATAATTCTATATTTGGAAAATACATATCCGAGGCTACCGTCTCACACTCATAGACCACATACTGTATATTTACAATATAAAGGCATCATGAATAAGCATCTACAGACTTTTGCTGACTGTGAACTCATAAGTGTTCACTGTAAAACTCTTTTTAAAAGCTGTTCCTGTAGCACGACCGAACATTTACCTTTGGCTCTCTGCAGACAAAGTAAACAGACTCTCATTTGTAAATAGTAAGTGACTGGAAGTAGTCAACAGTGGATTACTTTTGAATATGATTAAACAATAACTGTCTATGTTCTGTGAAAACTAAAGTACTATAATAGTAAATATATGGAAAATTAAAAGCCCAAACATTTTAAATAATCTAAAGAGGCCCGAGCATTTAAAAAAAAGCACTGCACTCCCTTTCTGTACAGGATTATTGTTTACTACACAGATGTAGGCTGTGTCCTCCTGAGATGTTTGCCATGTAAATAAATACTTGGAAGAATTGGGGAAAAAATAAAAAAGTTGTACATATGAGAAACACACAACAAGCACACACACATTCACACATTGTCACTAACACAAATCCTTTAAAGATAAGCAAACTTTTTTAAGATCAGAGGAACACGAGATGCAAAAATCATCTTCAGTCTTGATTCATAAAAGTACAATTATTTTAAGACAGGAAGCAGCAATTTTGCCTCAAATGTAATCGCAGGATTTTTTTCCTTTTTTCAAAATGTGGTCAGTCTTTCCTTGATCCGAATTAATTTTTGGCTCACCTGGCCTCTTAAAAATAAAGCTTTGCTCTTCTTGGTGGAGATCTCGCCGTGTTCAGGTTTTTCCTTTTCCGACTGGACCCCCTTTTCTGAAGAGTTACTACAGGGCTGTGCATTCATATATCCGTCTCCCTGACTTTTTCTTTTGTTTGTTTCTGCTGGGGTGAGACTCAGTCCGTCATGAGTGTCTTCGTAGACCCCAGGAATGTCAGCAGTTCTTTGGCTGATTAGCACACAGAGCAGGTCTTGGAGCCAGACCCACCACTGGGGTTGTTTGCAGCCGCTGTTAAACAATTAAATATTCAACAAAAGGGTAAGTATACAATTAAAGCACTAGAAACCAAATGATCACTTGTGTTGTGGCTAATTTTAATATATGAACCCATTCTACAATCCAAACGAGATATTTAATTAAAAATAGACACAACACTGTTCAAAAATATTGGTGTTAGACCAACGAAAGGCTGAAAACCTAGTGGAAAGTTTCATGACAAGTCGATGACATAGTTAGGTAGAAAAAGAGACCTCAGAGAGGTTTGGTGTTTCAGATGTGAAGCAAATTAAAAGCACTATCACCTCCTCTGGGCCTGAACCCATTCAAGATGAACTGAGGTGGAAAAAAAGTGGAAAACTGACATTATTTCTTGTTTTTGTTTTTTTTTTAATGTTGAATCCTCCACACTAAAGACGGAGGATTCAACCTGGCTTACTATCAGCATGCAGCTCAACGCTGTAGAGATGGATTAGTGCACATGATGTGAGTAACTTGCCCTTCTATGAAGGCCCCATTAATGCTGAATGATATTTGAAGGTTTGGGCACAGCATATTCAGCTATCCATTGAATTCTGCATGTATTAAACAGTCCAGACACCAAACTGGGCTAATTGGTATCAATTTAAAAGTGGGTTTTTTTGTTGTTGTTGTTGTTTGTTTTTTTAGCACTGTGAAAGGTTGTCTCTGTGCTACCTTCAGATTACTTAATAACTTTCAAATCATTGCATTTCTTTTATTTTTGCACTTTACATTGTTCCACCTGTTTGGGTTCAGTGCTCTGCCTCTCTGAGTCAACAACCTTTTTAACAGTTCCTTGTAGGGTTCTGATTATTGTAAAGACACACCCTACCTTTGCTGGCTGCCGCTGCCTCTTTAGCAGCTTTTTCTTCTTCGATGGCTTTGAGCTTAGCCTCGTACTCTTCCTTTTTGGCATTCCACTCCTTCCTGTTGTTTAAGATGCCATCCAGCATGGGCTGGATTTGTGGATGGAAGCGAGAAAACTCCTTAAAGATAAGATGCAAAGCAGAAATGAAAAATTTGCATGGAGCAGCACAGAAGAGGGGAGCTGTACAGGAGATGGTGATGCTCCATTGAAAACACAAATACATAATAAAAAAAATAACAATAAGAAGAAGAATTGACCCAGTGGTTTAAATGTGTTCAGACTAACCTAGTTTTTGCACAGAAACAGTGACAGGAGCCATGCAGTGCACATATTCGGTGAGCAAGAATGTAATAATCATTATTACCTTGTAGACAAACGTGCAGACAAAGTCAATGAAACCACACTGAAGCTTTGGAAGCTCAGCTGACTTGTTCCTGTCCATCATGGGCTGGTGGGAGGGACAAACATTTAGCGCATTCAGAACTGTCATATAATTAATGAAATCAGTGCAGGTCTGTAGCTAATCACACACACTTCTACACATGATTACATTTTTACTTTAAAATAGTAAAAACGGCCTGTATTTGTATAGCACTTTACTTAGTCCCTAAAGACCCCAAAGCGCTTTACACATCTGTAATAAGCTAGGAAATATAGTGCTGGACATTGTATCTAGCTGGCAGTATCATGAAAAAAACAACAACAAATGAATAATTATACATTTAAATGTGAAACAAATAAGTATATTTTTATGAGCACAAATACACTCCAGCAGTAAATAAACTCACAATGGGTTGCTGCTCCAGTACAGTCCTCTCCAAGTCACCCTGTTCCCAAAACTCTGCTGCCACAGACAAGGCAACCTGGAAGACATACAAATGTGGTTATGGTCTTAAATAATGCAAAAATCATTATTTACTCATTTGTGACTCAGCTTACTATCAACACCAATAATTTCTGTGCTTCTCACCTTGCTCTGAACTTCCCAAGGCTTTGTGATTGCGGACAGGTCACATGCGGTCATCATCATGGCCCTGAAACAGAAAACAGTTTGCAGCCTCAGAGAAATGTGCAGGAGCAAGTAACACTGTGCATGTTAGTTGCACTCACATGACAATCTCTTTTCTGGTTGTTTCTAGTGACATGAAGTCGACCCATTTCTTTTCATCCTCATACGTATGTGAGAGGTCCACAATCTTTTGGAACATGGTTCTCTTCCTAGAAAGGTGCAAGGAGAAGAATCATTTACTTACTGTTTGTCTACTTTTTACTGTAGTTTGACAGTAAAGACATTAGAAAAATAAGACATTTATCGTCAGGGAGCAAGGGCAGGCAAATGAAAAGTAGTACTGACTTGAAATAAAGAGCCAGGTCAGTGGCGATGATGGCGATGTCCATGAGATGGATCACGTGGTCAACCTGTCGCCTGTTAAGGTTCTGATAGATATTCAGTGTCTGCATAGGAGAGGAGCAAAGAAATGTCATTAGTGACTGAATAAAGAATACAAGTAACCTAAGCTAATCTCTCGTTAGCGTCTTGTTACTCACCTCGTCAGCCAAGAGGAACTTTCCAAACTCTAGATGGTGCCGTTCCAAAATGGAAGAGCCGTGTAACTTGGCCAGAGGATTACCAGATCTGTTGAATGAAAATAAAAATCCTCAGATACCAGCAAGATTTCAAATGGGACTGAAGTCGGTTATCATAATAGTTACTATATATGAAAGATTTTAAAAGAATTTACAGGCTTTTTAAAACATCATTCAGTTTATTACCACATTTTTCCCCATTTGTTTTCAAAAGATCTCCTGAAAGGTTAAAACGTGCAGGTGAACTTTTAAGATGATCTAATGCTCATTCTGAACTACAAGCGAATGCATAATCACTGTAGTAATGACTGTGGATCACTATATCCTTTCAACTACATTACCCCCCCCCGCAAAAACAAATATGTGTAGCTATGGTTCATCAAATGAACAATGACGACTCACTGTTTCTGTTTACAAGCTGATTGCTTGGCATCATTCAGAAATCGTGTAATTACTTGATTTGTGCCTTAGATTTCACCATTTGCAGCCATTTCAGTGACATCTGCAGCACATGCAGCAGAGTAGCATCGAAGCTAAACAGCCAGTAGTTTTTTTCCTTTTTAGGGCATGTTGCTAATTACTTTATAGAACACGTTGCTGGAAAGTAAATGAGAATTTACCTCATCATTTCCCCCTTTCAAAATAAACCTAATATAGTGACTACATCAAAAATTCCTTCCTTAACTTTTCTTTTTATCATCGACCTGCCAGCAGGCCCACTTTACAAGCACTCTTTAAATGACCATAACTCTGTAATTGTTTGTGTTAGAGACAAAATTCAAACTGTTTCAGAAAGAGGAGAATCTCTTTACTCGGATTACAAGGTATTGTAATTATATTGCACAAGGTACTGTACAATATATTGCTAAATGCTATATAATGCTGCAAACCTTAAGCAGTTTTCTTTATTTTGTTGTGAGAAATCAAAAAGTTCCCATAAGCACTTACTTGACCTGGTACAAGTTATTTGTCCCTCTGTGATCAATATCGTGAAGGAATCCTGCGGTTATCATCGCCATTACCTCCAAGTCAGTGTAGTATCGCTTCAGCATTCCTGTCTGAGCACACAGAGACACACAAGATATTGCCCTGCTGTGTATAAAGATATACATTTAAGCTGAGGTAAATGGAGGTTAATAAAATTAAAGAAATACCGTCAGTAGCGTAAACATCGTCTGTCCAACATTAAAGCCGTGACGCCAGTTGTGGTAGGTGATCCTTCTGTACCCTTTGCTGACTGAATACATGAATCGAACCAGCACCTGAGAGGAGAGCAGCAAATCATTAAATCTATTTAAAAACGACACAGCTCCAAAAGGCTGTTCACAAACTGAAGATAAAGATGCACACTTGTGTTTATCTGCATTACCTCTTGTGGAATCTGGAACTTCTTGACCACACCGACTTCATAGTACATCTGGATCCCGCACTTCACCAACTCCATCTCTGTGCAATTAAAATCTGAAAAGCGGAACTCATAGATCTCAAACTTCTTAATTAGTGGAGGAAGGTCTTTTTTCTGTGAGGGAAATGAATGAAAAAGAGACATATATGGAAAATGTCAAACTTTTCTGGTAACATAAGCCAAATTGAGGGACAAATTCATGTGCTGGACATCAGAATACGCATGTTGGACATACCAGGATAGCTAGGAGCTCGTCCTCTTCACAGTCTCTGGGTTCACAGTCATAGAGCTCTCTGGTGTACTGGGAGAAATTACAAAAACCATTGATGTTATAGGTTTAAACTGAGGCAACAACGCCAAGTACAAAGATGGCAAGTGTTAGTTTGGTCTCCTACAAAGAGAAAAATTAGTGAATCTTGTCAAAAAAGAAAAGCTTTTTTTGGTTCTTGTTGGATGGTTTGCAATGTCTTTTGGTGAGGTGGGAGTTCAAATGAGGCTGGAAACCTTTTCTATTGTCATTCATCTAAATACTCTAATGTTTACAGTCAGTTAACAGCTGGGAGAGAAAACACATTTAAACAGGACAAACCAGGATGTTCTGAATCTCATCATCTCGACATTTGACGTGGTAGAGCACCATGTCCTGAGCGATGTCTTTGCGGTTCTCAAGCTTATTCATCTTGTCGTAGGTGTCTGTGTTCAACGCTGACCATCCCAGGAACTGAGTCAAAGCCTGAGAAACAGGAAAATCATCAGAAGATGGCCATCTATGTTACACGTACAGCCTTCACCACAAACAGTGTCGGCAGTGGACTCCACACATAAACATAAAACAGATATAGACACTTTATCTTCCCAGATTACATTGGTGGGACTGTATTTGTCTTTATTTGCACTAAATGATTTTGTGAAGATTACTGTTACCTCCATGAGCTGCTCATCCTGATCATCAAAAGGCTTTCCATCTTTTCTGTTGTAAAACGTGGCTACGCCAACTATCTCTTCCTTTTTGTTGACGATTGGCAGCGAGAGAACATTTTTTATTGTCCAGCCACTGCTGTCCAATGGCTCTTTCTGCAACACACAAGAAACAAGCAGACCTCATAACATATGTCTACATGCAAAAGGTTCTTTAGCTTTTTTTACAAGCAGAACATCTTGCGTGGCCTGTTTAAGCTTAGAACTGTAACTACAATCTAAAACATTGTAGCCCAAATACTTCAGGGGGTCTTAATAATAATGAAGAAACAGGTTTCATTTTAATCATGTTAATTTTCCAGTAAATCATTCTGTCTGGTTTAATGATGCATTTTGGTGTTTTCAAAAAAATTCAAGCTTAGTATGATTGTCTGCATATTTTCTCTGTTTAACCAGTTTGTTCCTGGAATAACTTAAAGATGATAACTGATTCAGATATCCCTCTTGCCCACTAGTCACCTGGATAATAAACCAGGAAGAAGCAGCACAGGTTTGATAAACCCCGACTGAAGTTTTAGATATTAACGTTTTAAAGTTACGACAAACCTTGGCTATGGGTCACAGACCCCTGGGCGTTCCCGGATACCACTGTGACTGCCACTGCTCTGAAAGTACTCTGCACTGTTTTTTGCTTGTTTTTTGTCTGTTTATTTTTAATAAAGTAGCGTCCTCTCTACACAGTGACGTCTACAATATCTTACCTGAAAATCGAACGTCTCATCAGCGCCTGCATTCATAATGTTACAAATCTACGAGAGGGAAGAGAACAACCTGATCAGTTTGGAAATATTTATTAGGTTAAACTGGTTTGACAGCTTTCTGCAAGTAATTAAAAAGAAACTTACAAAGCCGCTCTCAGCAACATAAGTGGGAAGGCCACTACTCAAAGCCCAGTGATCTGCGGGAGGATTGCTATAAGACACACAGGCAGTAAATCAACAGATGTTATCTCTCACTAAAACTTCATTAATCTCTTTTATTTTTTCATCTAACCACTTACGGTATTACTTTGATGTCTTCCTTTCCGTGTAAAATATAATCAATCACTTTGTAGAAGTTTACCTCCTAAAATCAAAATAAAACAGGAACAAAGAGGAAGCAGTGTGTAGACATTTACTAGCAAAGGCAGTGCTGGTAATAATGTTAGATAAATAAAATAAAAGAACATACCCTGCCATCAGGGGTTACAGGGCCAGAGTAAGGTGCCTGCTCTCCCATCAAAACTGGCCAGATGTCAAAGAACTCCTGGAAGCAGAGAACGAGTCAGTAACTTCACGGTGGTACAAAAATACAGCTTAACACACACAAAGATACAGAAAGAAGCCACACCTTTTCCTTCGTCATGTCTAGTAAACCAACAGAGTAGCGGTCACAGTTGAGGTAGGCTCGGACTGTGTACAAGGCTTTGTGAAACTGTCGCTCGATGTCTGTCAGCTCTTCGAATACCTTGTTGGCTGACCATAGCAGCAGCTACAAAACATGCAAAATATACATTAAAGAAGGGTGAAAATTAGGTTAATACACGGTGCAAGTGTAACACTGCAGTAATATTTCTGTATCTACATCAAAGACAGCACATTAAAATTGCTGTACCTGTCCTTTACGCGTCTCACAGCTGTGGAGGTAACTCAGGTGGTAGATCTTCAAGTTCAAAGTGGCAACTCTCATATACTTCAAAAAAAGCTGTGCGGATGGAGGAAACGGGGTCAAAATAACATAAAAAATAAGTGGCAGAATTAAATTTGTGGTACAAAAAAATGCTGTAAATGAAGGTCGAGGGGTGATGAAGATAATGTACTATAAATATAATCAGCAACATCACATTATTATTATCATTATTATTATTATATTTATTATTGTGCCTTTTTTAAACAGAGAACACTGACATGTCCGATAACAGGGTTCTGCTCTTCCCCGAGCTTGTGGATACATAAACGTGGCATTATTTTAGCCATGTTGAAATATTTTCTTGTAAAACATATGAAATAGGGAAAAATGAATCTTAATTCTGATGCATTAACCTGATGTGGCTCTCAGTCCATTCAGTTCACGTATATTTTTAAGAGGAAGGGGGGCATCCCCAACTGACATTAATGACCTTGCCCATATTTCATGCAATACTTATCAGCTGTAATAAGAAACTAATTGTCTTTAATTACAATCTTAAGGCTGACTGACTGTCTAAAGCTGATTGTCTTTACCTTAAAGCAGAAAAACATTGTTTACAGAATTGTGCACATTAGTTTCAACTGTGAGTGGTTCAAGCACGTGTGCTTTTGTGGTTTGGACTCACATCTTCATCTTCAGCAGTGAAATGTGGTCCTGTGGTCTTGTTCACAGCCATGACCACTGCCACCATGTCTTTGCCGTTGAGGATGGGTGTAGCCAGAATATTCCTGGTCTCGTAGTCTGTGAGCTCGTCAACAAATGAGCTGAAGTGCTGGTTCTAAAATGCAGGAAAGATGCCTTCAGAGCACATAGACATGTAATTGCTCATCCAGAAAACATTACTAATATAACACCGCAAAGGCTTTCATAAGGCCTTACTGAAAGCCGAATACATCGCTAGAAAAATTCATTTAAGATTATTGTTTTGAAGACAGAAGACTTTTACAATGTACTACAGTTAATGTGTGTACACATATAGTAAATACTCCAACTTAACACGGTGGCATAGAGACAATGAACAACTTTTATACAGCAGAGTTCTGCAGGAGCCAAGAGTAGATTTATTAGAGAATAAATAGAGTCTATAATAAGAGGTAAGTGTGTAGGTAAGAACGCATCATATGGCCCACAAATCCCACATTTTTATTAGTTTGTCAACTCAATTTAATTATGAAACTACAAAACGTATGATGCACGCTACTGTTCCTTTAAAATATAACAGTGTAAATAACAATATAAGGTTTATACAGGGATATAAAAGTAAGCTATCAAAGTGAAATGATCTGTTTTAGATTCCTGCTGACTAAATGCCAGAGATGTCTAATCCACAGCTAGAGCAGAGCCTCATGGGATCTGAAAATAAATGGATTATGTCTGTCAAGGGGATTTACACCTTCAGGTGGTCAAGTGTAGTGGGTGACTAGCTTTTCTTTTACTCGCCCTATAACCATGAGGCTTTAGGGTATGATATCTAATATATGTGAATATTTACGAAAGCAAACGTGCAAAAATGTTACTTTGTTGGTACTCTGTGAGGAAAAGAGCAGCGGCAGCTCCTGCTGTTTGATTTTAAAGAGACTGTAACAAATCTTGACATTCTTGCCTCTTTCATGTGCAACCAATGAGATTATCCAACAGAACTGAACAGATCATGGGTAACTTGCCACCACCTTTACCTTCCATTGGAGAGAATAAATGAGAATATAAATCAAAAGTGTTATTGTGATATATTTATAACTGATTTAATTCTTAATTCTAGCCACTGTGTGTCACCTGGTGGTGATCTAATATGAATCACACCTTCATCATCTAAGCTTTCCCTCTAATTAATTAGCCCTCCCTCCTCCTTACCTCCTTGACGTTTTTCACATTAACTGACTTCTTGGTCAGAGCCACATTGCCAACTATTCCCATGTCCAGCGGATACACGATCTCAGAGTCTGGTGGCACAATGCAATCGTCAAACTCGGAGTCTTTGCTCACGTTGAAGAGTCGTGTGGCGAGCTCTCCCACGCCATTGCGCTGGCGGTACATGAACAAGCTGCAGCGGTCGGCGTGCAAGAGTGCGCTGACCCTTCTCAGGATCTTGAAAACCACCTTTTCCATGTTGATGTTCTCTTGCATGTCTTTGATCAGGTCATACATGATTTTGCTTTCCTCGATCTTGAAAAGGACAGAAAAATCACTAAAGATCAAAAATAATATCAATAATAAACAAAAAATAAAACTGTAACTTACCTGAGTGAGCTCTTGAAACTGGCTGAAGTCGATCTGTTTCTCTGGGAGTCCTGAAACCTTCGATATGGTGGAGGTGTTCATCTTCTTGGCAAAGTACTTCTTAGCAAAATCAGGATTCCCGTTCAGGAACTTTTCCACGTCTTCCTTTTGTACACCCATGATTGCTTCTTCCTTGTCCTCTTCCAAGTGTCCCTGTCTTCTCCCTCTTCAGCTCAGTGATCGAGCTCCCACTACGTCCAACACTGCTCCTCCAACTTCCCCACCTAGAAATCGAAGACAAAATAAGAAAGGAAACACTTGCATAGTGACAACTTTCTAAACTTTACCCCCCAAGAAAGAAAGAAATCTTACCCAGATACTACACACAAAGGTGGGAAACAGAAGTGGACACATTCAAATGCAGGTATAAAAAAATAAAAAAATAATCCCCTCTTGTTAGTGGGATAAGCAGACTGAGAAAGGGAGGAGAAGGCAGCGGGCTGAATCCAACAATCCCTCTGTCATCAGCAGATAGTGCTGAAGGTTAGTGGGGATCTGCCTACACTAAACTCATCAGCTGATCATGTAGTAAGGGATATGTAGGCCAAAGGATCCAGACACCATTGTGCTTTTGTCCAAAACAAAAGTAAAATATATACTGTCAGGTCCCTAAAGGAATAATTATTTCTTAGGTTTTCTGCTGGCATTGCACTACAAATTCAACTTGGCTCATTTTTTGCTGTTAATTACTGATTTTGTTGATGTACGCATTTAAGCATCCATGCACAATAACTTAATACACAATAACTATAACTTTTTTTTAAATTCTGAGGGGAGAATATAATAAAAAGCTTAAAAACCAATGAAAAAACAGCGAGTCTTCTTCATTGGTCTCAGACTGTTTTTTTTTTATTGAGGTGTTTTAAACATTTAAACATTTGTTTAAATATATAGGCATTATAGATATACAGATATAGGTTTAAAGGCTCTGAAACCAATAAATAGAAATGATGGTCCTGTTTTTAAATTTCTGGGTCAATACAGATGTTTAAAATAGCAATTTTATTATTTTATTAACATTTTTTAAATTCTCCACTAATAATCATTAGTATAAATATATTTTCTATCTCTTTTGTGCTAGTCCAAAATATAAATAATAACAATAATACAATTTTACTCATCACCGTGGGACCTAGGAATATTTAGCTAATACAAAATTGATGTGCACCACTGATAAACATCATTTGTAAATGTGTAAATTTACTTGTAAATGCTGATATAGCAATGGATCCACAGTAAAAATGACTAGTAAGAAAAACAAATATGAAAAAAACAAATTAATTAGCTGACTGATTACTGAAAACTTTAATGAAACATAAAATCAGTAAATAAAATATTATTTGTCTCCATATTTCTGCACTGCTGTGAATGAAAAATTTGTTGCATTATTAAATCTAAATGATTATAAAATCTACAAAATTATAAGATATATATTTGTATTACATACACACCCTTTGCTTTTCATGTCTACTGTATATGCTATATTTTTCAGTTACAGTATGCCAGTTCTGCCTCTCTCTCCCTCTCTCTGTCTCTCTCTTCTAGGTCTACCTGTGAAAGCTCTTTAGTTCCTCATTAATCTCGACCTCCTCTTTATAAGCTCTGTTTAGTTAAAACGCTGCCTGATGAGGTCAGCACCCAAACTCTGGCTTTCTCCTCATGTAGTCTTTAAACCTGTAATGCACATATAGACAGTGGAAAATGAGACGCTGTGTGCTTCTGTGGGAAAACTAATCCTTTGATTCAGTGCAGTGAGGTCCTGTCTATAATAAGGTTTCATAAACATCTTAAACAAAAGGTCAAATACATAATCTCCTTCCACTACAATAGATTACTGGTACAGTGTGTGTCTGTGTGAGTGCGTATCTGTGCACATTCATGATAGGGTCAGGAGGTGTTTATTGATTTAGTTTGATAAGGATGTGTATGATGTGTTTTGTTACTCCATGTATCATCTACACAGGAATCATGTACGCACTCACCTGAGCCTCACTATGCATGCTCACTTGTGCACCAGCATATTTCCTCTTCTTAGTGCTTTAGTTTACCTAATATAAATTAATGCTTAAATCTTACACAGTGACCAGCAAACTAAAGCGTCCCACCATCACCATGTTAGCCGCTCTGTGAAGTACTGAGACGGCCACATTATCAGCCACACAACTATAGTGTATAATAGTATAGTATAAGTCACCTAAAAACACTTGAACACGCATTTGAATCATTTTCGTTTTTGGTCTGGCTAAATTACACATACATATAATTTTGTTTTCTGGCTCTGTTAATGTTTCTGGCAGTATATTCTGAATGAAGTGGATGGAGCTCCTATAAATACAGGAAGTGGTAATTGGAATATACCAAGTGTTGCCACATCACAGGGGTGGAACAGAATTGTTTTGTCAAAATACCTTGATTTAATTCGTTGGTTTTGATGTTCTGTATGTGGTTGTTTTGGATTTGATTAATGTTAAGTTAAAAGTAACTGTTACACTAACTGTTTTTTTGTTGTTCTTGTTTGTCGTTTCTCTTGATTCTTTGTTTAGTTTTGATCAAGTATTTTTTAGACATTAGCTAGCAGTGTTATTTTTAGGTATGTCCCAATTTACTTCAGATAAATCCTGAGTTTAGTTCTTTTTAGCTGACCTCTTGTAAAAGCCCAAAGTTTATTCTTAACTTTTTTAGGTCAGATAAACTTGTTTCCTTGTGCCTAATCAGTGGTCTCTAATACGGTACTTGAGCAAGCCCTTACTTAAAGCTAACAGCTGTAATCAGCATGCTACAGCACTAATCATAGCAAGTAAAACAGCTTATAATGTAAAGTTCCTTGAAATAAATCTAATTATTAATTTGAATAGAGACAAATTGAACTGAATCAATGACATTGTTCAACACGCTAATGAATAGTAATGTCTACTGTTTTCACCTTCTGTTAGCATGTGAACATTTTTTCATTAGCACTGTTAGCAAAACAAAGCACATATAAAGCCGATGTCAGTGTCATTTGTTTTGCATGTGTTGATCATAAACCAAGTAATAGAAAATGTTACCTAATTATGGGTCTGGATGAAAAGCCATATGGTCATTAATGTTACTACTATTTCAGTATTTGTCGAGCTATTCAATTCAGTTCAATTCAATAGTATTTATGTAGCACCAAATCACAACAAGAGTCATCTCAATGTGCTTTATATTGTGACCTAAAGACTCTACAATAACAGACATGAAACCAAAGATGTAGACTTTTAGTTTAGTACATGAAAAAATGAAAATAAACTGAAAGATTTACTCACATATTAGCTTTCTTATATTGCAATCCTGCCATGCACCACACGATGGCAACAGACGCAGGCTAGAAAGATGTTGAGTGATCCATGATCTGCAAGTCTCCTATTTATAAATACAGGCCATTTTACCTTTTTTTTTTCCTTCTGTGTGGGCACATGCAGTGGTTATCTAAGCATATGTTACAAAGTATGTGCTGCCGAAAAGGATTAACAGACTTCCCCATACTTTTCACTTTGTTCTTTATTTTGGGGGGTTTCCTTTTTTTTTTTATTAGTCTTTATTAAGCATACATATTGGGGCACATCAGTCAATACAACTCTGCCTCAATGAATTATGAATCTGGATTGTTCATAATGAGTTCACTGAAAAAAAGAAGTGTATTTTCTCGTAAAGATTTCTCCTCTTGGGCTAAAAGTGAACTTTCCACTACATACTGTAGATATCATTGACAGCATCCATCCATTGTTTGAGGCTTGGTGATTTGGGTTTATTCCACTTTTTTGCATTTTTATTTTTTATTTGTATTTTTTTGCAGGCTACTGAAAGTATTTTTACAAAGCTGCCAGTACTTTAAAAAAAATTAACTTTTTTTTTTTTTTACATTTTGGGGCTTTCGCCTTTGATACATATCGTAGCAAATTAGCAAAATGACCGATACCAGATTGCCACCATGTTGTTTCCATTTACGGTCATATCAAAACATTTTGTTCAAACAAGGAACCTCAGATTTATACAAAGAACATCTTGCATTAAGGATAGAAAACATATTTTTAGTTAGAGCTCTTAAAGCCTAAGACCTACACACTCTAAAGAACGGCTCACAGACCAAAACGCCAGAAGTGTAAAAAAAAAATTACCTGAAGATCATTCTTGAGATTTAAAGTAGTTGAAGGTCAAACAATGACACCAGTTTTTTTTTTAACTGTTAGTAATTACTGTGGCCAGTTTCATAACCTTTACATACACATATACCACGCTTAGATTGTTTCAAGGTTAAATGAAAATACAACAGTATTATAAGGGAACTAACTGTATTTCTTCACATAGGAATTTAACGATGGTGTAGAGTACGTATTTTTATCAGGGATCTATTTCTGTTCTTACAAGCAGGATTAAACTGTATTCCTCCTGTCAGTGGAGAAAATAGAGCTGCTGTCTTGACTGACTTGTCTGTGTGTGTCCTCACTGAAAGACGCTGTTTACTTTCGGAGCTGCACTAGTTTACACCGATTGCTTAATTTTTCACCGAATATCGGATTAAAGAGGATAAATTTGTAACAGTAGTAAGTCGAATATAAACAAACAGACACCTGTGGATATTATTACATGATGTATAATGCCAGCAGTAATCTCAGGTGACCAAGGTCAATCCAAGAAAGTAGAAATCACAAACAGGGGTCTGTGTGTAAGTTTATGAATAACAATGCGATGTCCGGTATGTTCTTGTGGGCTTAGTTTGTACTCTTGTGAGGCCAATTCTCTGAAATTACCAAAATTCTTTAAAATAATTTCTTTTTTTAAAAAGGGGGGCAAAATATACTAATTTAACCAACCAACAAGAATTTTGGACTTTTTTAAAGAGCATTACACCTTGATTGTTCAGCCAAAACAAGATGACATAACTAGATTGTCTACTTTTATTCACCCTCTCCTGCCTGGTGGCCTGAGCTAGTGTCCATTAAATTGTGCTTATCAATGAAGTGCATCTCAGTTGTTTACAACACTTTCCAGACTTGCCAAAGTATCAAAGCAAAACAGAATACAGCTCACATCTCAAATCAGTGTTTTCTGACCACGTTTTTATTATACAGCTGATAAAAACATAGGTTTTTTGGTGGTTTGAGCTCCAAGTTGTTCTTTTTCTCTCACTTCACACACAAATGTTGCATGTGGGATCTAAGACAGAGCTTATTTCCTTACTGCATGGCTGTTTTTCAAGAAATGCATGTCGGAAAAGGGAGCATGTACTCATTCTTTCCTGTTTGTTTTCTCATCCTAAACAGACACGGAAGTTTCTCAGGTGAATTTGTACTATGCTAACACAGCACTTTTCCATTGCTGAAATTGACTTTTGACCTCTTGACCCTTTTTTGACCCCAAACTCTTTTGTTTTTGCCATTATTTTATCTACTAAAAAGAAAAGAATAACCTGCTTCCT